CCCAGGCTGGAGTGCAGTGGTGTGATCTTGGCCCACTGCAACCTCCACCTCCTGGGTTCAAACGATTCTCCTGCCTCAGCCTCCCGAGTAGCTTGGACTACAGTTGTGCACCACCACGCCTGGCTAATTTTTGTGTTTTTTAATATAGATGCGGTTTCAACACATTGGTCAGGCTGGTCTTGAGCTCCTCACCTTGTGATCTGCCCACCTTGGTCTCCCAAAGTGCTGGGATTACAGGAATGAGCCACCACGCCTGGCCTCTTTTTTGTTTTAATTTGAGACAGAGTCTCGTTCTGTCACCAAGGATGGAATGCAGTGGCATGATCTTGGCTCACTGCAACCCCCCTCCCTCCCAGGCTCAAGTGATCCTCCCGCCTCAGCTTCCTGAGTAGTTGGGTCTACAGGGGTGCATCACTGCCCCTGGGTAATTTTTATACTTTTTGTAGAGGTGGGATTTCGCCATGTGCCCCAGGCTGGTCTGTAGCTCCTGAGCTCAAGTGATCCACCTGCCTCAGCCTTTCAAAATGTTGGCATTACAGGCTTGAGCCACCTTGCCCATCCTGTTTTACTTTTGATAAGAAAAGTTTGAGAGTCATAGAAGCCTTTTAAAATAGTACTGTGCTTAGCCTCAGAACAGGTGAATCTTACAACCAAAAACTACATATTTTCTGTGCTATTAGGAGGAAGCTTGTCATTAGTGAATTTGGTACATTGTGTTTTACTATTTAACTGTAAGCAAATAAAAGGAAAGTGAGCAATATTTAGTGTATAGCCCTTTCAAATTATGAATAAAATCATAATCCTAAAAGGTTATACTGTCAACCCAAACATAAATGACAGTGTGATGTGTTAGGGTCTCCCAACTGTAGATTTTAGATGTTTTCTTTCTTTTGGTAAATCATTTGGTTATGAGATACTTGGGAAATAAAAAGCACTTTTGTGTTTTAATGTCTTAGAAGAGGAAGAGAAGAATGAGAAAAGACAAAAACTTGTGAGAAAAAAACAACAAGAGACACAAGGAGAGAAGGTAAGTCAGAATTTTTAGAGACTTTATGCATCAGGAAATACAAAAACCTGAGGCAATTAAAATTAAGCTCTGGGCCAGGTGCAGTGGCTCATACCTGTAATCCCAGCACTTTGGGAAGCTGAGGCGGGAGGACCACGAGGCCAGGAGATTGAGACCATCCTGGTTAACACGGTGAAACCCTGTCTCTACTAAAAATACAAAAAAGTAGCTGGGCATGATGGTGCACGCTTGTAGTCCCAGCTTCTGGGGAGGCTGAGGCAGGAGAATCGCTTGAATCTGGGAGGTTGCAGTGAGCAGAGATGGCGTCACTGCACTCCAGCCTGTGCGACAGAGCAAGACTCCATTTGAAATAAATAAATAAATAAATAAAGGTCTGTTGCTTCTGTCTTTATAAGATTTTTAAAAATATATATTGAGGTGAAATTCACATGACATAAAATTGACCATTTTATTTTACTTAATTATTTTCGAGTTGGAGTCTTACTGTTGTTGCCCAAGCCGGAGTGCGGTGGCTTCCACCTCCTGGGTTTAAGTGATTCTCCTGCCTCAGGCTCCTGAGTAGCTGGGATTACAGGCACGCACCACCACACCCAGCTCATTTTTGTATTTTTAGTAGAGATGAGGTTTCACCATGTTGGCCCGGCTGGTCTTAAACTCCTGACCTCAGGTGATCCATCTGCCTCGGCCTCCCAAAGTGCTGGGATTACAAGTGTGAGCAACCACGCCCAGCCAAAATTGACCAAGCAGTTCAGTGATATTTAGTACATTCGCAAGGTCATACAACTCTGTTCAGTCCCCTTAGGGAAAACCGTATACTCTTTAAGCAGTCACTCCCTGCTATCCCCTCCTCCCATCCTCTGGATACCACCAATCTGCTTTCTGTTGGTACGGATTTACCTGTTCTGGATATTTCTTATAAATGGGGTTGTATAGCATGTGACCTTATGTGTCTAACTTCTTTGATTTAGCATAGTGTTTTCCAGGTTCTTCTATACTATAGCATGTATCAGCATCTCATTTCTTTTTGTGGATGAATAATTGTCCACTGAATTTATATACCACATTTTTTTGAGACTGGGCCTCACTCTGTTGGCCAGGCTGGGGTGCAGTGGTACAACCATAGCTCACTGTTGCCTCAACTTCCTGGGTTCATGAGATCCTCCTGCCTTAGCTTCTCGGGTAGCTGGAACTGCAGGCACACACCACCACGCTCAGCTAATTTTTAAAAAAATTTGGGGCTGGGTGCGGTGGCTCATGCCCATAATGCTAGCACTTTGGAAGGCCAGGAAGGGTGGATCACTTGAGGTCAGGAGTTAGAGACCAGCCTGGCCAACATGGTAAAACCCTGTCTCTACTAAAAACAAAAATTAGCCGGGCATGGTGGCACATGCCTGTAGTCCCAGCTACTTGGGAGCCTGAGACAGGAGAATCACTTGAACCCAGGAGGCGGAGGTTGCAGTGAGCCAAGATTGTGCCACTGCACTCCAGCCTGGGCAACAGAGTGAGACTCCATCTCAAAA